CTCCTCCTCCTCCTCCTCCTCCTCCTCCTCCTCCTCCTCCTCCACTCCAATCCAATCCAATCCAATCCAATCCAATCCAATCCAATCCAATCCAATCCAGGCTCTGCGCGCTGGCAGCGGCACGGCGGCGTAGAGAGGGCAGGAGAGAGGGCACGGCGAAGGGGGCCCGCCGCCACTTCGCCTCGCCCCTGCGGGTGCCCCTGGACAGTCTGGGGTTTCGCGGCGACCGACCGCATTCCTGCAGGGATCGAGCAAGCTAAACAGCACGTTTCGTTTCGGTTTGTTTCTGTTGCCCTTCGCTCTGTCTTCTCTCTGCTCTTGCGACGACACAGAATCAGAAACAGAACGGCCCACGCAATCGCCCAAAAACAGTCTGGCTCGAGCCTTGCATTCCTGTGCGCGCTGGCGCCAGCATCCATTCAGTGGCACGGTCGGGCCGAGACAGGCCAACATCTTCTTCCATCGAGTGACGCGTACACTCGGCCAACGCACAGCAAGAACCGCGGCAGAGTGCAGGTCCTGGAGGGCCAAAACGCATATTGTGACGTCGACGCGCCCCCAGAAAACCCAAGAGGCACAATAAGCGGACAACTCACGCACGGACCGGCAAGCAATCCTCAGGCACTCCATGGGGTGCGTCGTCCTTGGACGCTGCGCGTGGGCGGAACGGCGCGGTCGCTCAGAATGCGAGGCCGGCAGGGGGCAAAACCGGGTGCGACTCACAATTCCCTTGAGCCGGAGTTGCTGCACAGTGCACAAGCGGTGTTCCTGCTGATCCTCCTGGCCCCTATCCCCCCCACGTCCTCCTTCTATTGCTTCTCTTTATCCTCCTCCTCCGTGGACTGCTCCGACTCTGACTCCAACTCTCGGGCACTGCCGTCCGCCCCCAAGTCTCACCACCTCTGGCCCCCCACCCCTCTCCCCACTGCAACCCCCAAGCAATGGTGATCGCAAAATGAGCCACCAGGAGGGAGGGAGGGTCCGAGGAGGGAGGGAGGAGGGGGCGGGAGTGGTGGCACAGCACAATGCCATCCTTCTCCATCTCTCCGCTGGGCGCATTCGAGGTTCTTGGCGGCCTGCAACGCACGATCGTGTCTTGCTGCATCGGCATCTGACAGGTCGTAACACTTCGCTCGCGCTGCCTCCTGAAAGTATGCGCGATCCTGAGACTGGCAGCCCTTGTGCTTCACCTCCCAGAACCGCAAGTCCAAGTCTCGGACTCCCCGCCAGCACAGCATCCCCAGGGACGTTGCCGCCGACAAGGTGGCGCATCGCGGAGCTCGCCGCGGAGAGGGGGGTCGGAAGGGAGACGAGCGAGGGATCAGGGCGGGGATGGCGGAGGGGGACAAGGGAAGAGGAAGGAGAGGGCGAAGTGACGAGGGGGGAGAAGGGCAAGCTAGGTGCGTTCGGGCCGCATCTGACATCGTGCCCCTCCCTCCCATCCCTTCCCATTGCTCTGTTTGTATATTCCCGGAAAAATGTGTTATGCACAATCGGAAAAAAGGAGCTGCGCACACAGGAGGAGGAGGAGGAGGAGGAGGAGGAGGAGGAGGAGGGAGGAGGAGGAGGAGGAGGAGGAGGAGGAGGAGGAGGGAGGAGGAGGAGGAGGAAAAGGAGGAGGAGGAGGAGAAGGAGGAGGAGGAGGAGGAGGAGGAGGAAGAGTAGCAGCAGGAAATGGAGTGGACGGAGCGGGAGGAGCAAGAGGACCAGGGAAAGCGGAGGAGTGGAAATGAGGGGGGCGACAACGATGTAAATGGACTCGGCTCCAGTAAAGTGGCCCCCGCTGGGGCCAAAGCGCCTCTCTGAACGACGAGAGCAATGCGCCGATCCGAAAATGAGGCACGCGTTGCAGCGTGAGCGCCATTTTGAGACACCGAAAACAATCGGCGCTTGTTCAAACACCTCAGAGAAACAATGCCGCCCAATTGTGTTGGGCAAAAGCAATGCGCGGAGAGGGCCAGACGTCTTCTGGGCAGAGTCGGGGGAGAGGAGAGCAGTATTCATGATGTGCAACTCAGCTGCACACTCTGTATACTTCTCTCCTCTCTCAACCCCCTCTTCAGTTTTTGTAGAGTGGCGGGGAGGTGGGGGGGGAGGTGGGACAGAGGGGAGTGGGCGAGGGAGGGGGCCGGAGAGGGTGGCGGGAGCGAGATGGGGCGGCAGAGCATCCCGTTCCCCGAGCATCCTCCGAGCAGCCCGGGGCCTCTGCCCCCCGGGGCATCCCCTCTCCACCCCCCGAGAGGCGTCCCGGCCTGCCTCCGCCGACCGGGGTCCTCCCCATAGGGGGCCACATGCGAACCCCACCCCCCCCCTCAGAAATGGGTGGGGGGATAGGGGCAGGGTTCGCATGCGCGCCCCCACCCCCTGCACCCCTGGGTATCACGTCCTCCACGTCCTCGGGACCCTCCCTGCGCCAACTCGGCCCTCCCTGCCGCCCTGGACGCCCCGCGCCCCCCATCCCCCCCCCCCCCCGCGGGCCCGCGCGAGGCCCCCGACGACCTGCCGGCCATATGTGCAAGACGCACGCGGGAAACCGAGGCAAAAAGACGGCACGGCGGCACGGCGGCCGGCGGCCCCGCGGTCTGTAGCGAGCGCCCCGTCGCCAGGGCGCGCGGGGCAGGGAACAGGGACGGAGGAGGAGGGAGCCAGGAGAGAGGAGGGGGGGGGGGGGGGGAGACCGGGGAGAGGGGGAGGTAGGGAGGGGAGAGGAAGAAGACGGGGGGCGGGGCGGGGAGGGAGGGGAGGAGAGAGACTGGAGGGGGGGGGGGGGGGTGAGCAGGCCGAGGGAGGAGAGGGGGCAGGAGGGAGGGGGACAGGAGATCCTGACGGCCGCTGGGCGGAGGACGACGGCGCGCTTCTGCCGCGCAGCTGCCTCCACGACGCGGGCGCCGGGGGAGGTTGCCTCGCAGCGCGGGGCGGGGGATCATTTCGCTCACCATGCGGTTGCGTCCTCCCCCCCCCCGCCGCGGCCGCGTCCGAGAGGTGCGCGTCGTCAACGCCTCCCCAGCCAGGCTGACTCGCCACCCTCTCCACTTGAGAGCGGTCCAGCGCCGCCCGAGCGCCCGCGCGAACGGTGCGCCGCAGGCCGGCGCGGGCGCCGCACGGGGCGGGGCCACCGCGGCAGGCGGCAGCGACGCCGTGGACCACCGGCTGGTTTTAAGTCGGGCCTGTCCCCCTACAGGGGGAGTTTCGACGAAAAATAAAAGATACCCCAAAAATAGTCCAAAAATGGTCCCAAAAAAAGTCTGGGGACACTCTTTGTTGAACAGTTTTCGGCCTCTTCGGAATATTTTTGGGGGTATCTTTTATTCTTCGTCGCAAATCCCCCTGTAGGGCGGCACGCCCGACAGAAGGCTGGTTGCCCGTGGTGTCAGCGCTGGGATCGGGAGCGGCCAAGAGGGGGGTGTCCAAGAGGGGGGGGGATGCAAATCATGACCAGCGGCACGTGCGCGGCCCCGCGGGGGGGCCAGGGACCTCATAAAACAAGAAGAGGCGCCATGAAGTCTGGGGAACTATCATAGCCCACGCCATGATATCCACCCCCCTAGTCATCACCCCCCTCTTTTCCGCCCCCTACAAGGGGAGTTTCGACGAAAACTGAAAAATACCCCAAACAGTGTTCTAATAGTTTTCGACCTTTTCGGTGTCTTTGTGGGGTATTTCTTATTTTTCGTCGAGAATCCCCCTGTAGGAGGACACGCCCGACAGAAGGCTGGTTGCCAGTGGTGGCAGCGATGGGAAGGCGCCGGGCTGCCGCGAGACCGGGCGGGCGCGAGCGCGGCCGCTGCCCGCGAGAGCGCCCCCGCCCATAGGCGCGGCGGCCGCGCGGTGGCCGGCGGCCCAGGCCGTGAGGGCACGGCCCCGGCAGCGGCGCGGGCCGGGGCGGGGCACGCGCGGCTTGGGCACGCACCGTCGGCGACGGCGCCTGCCAGACTGGCTGGGGTAGGGGGCCGGGCCACACAGAGGACGCACGCGCCCAGCTATGCACAGGAGCACGGCCCCTCGATCCGCGAGACTGGCCGCGCGAGACGAACATTCGGGCAACTAGGGGTCCACATGCGAACCCTGCCCCTACCCCCCACGATTTCTGAGGGGGAGGGTGGGGGTCACTTCGCTCGGGAGCTCCCGAGCGAGGTGAACCCCCCCCTCCCCCTCAGAAATAGGAGGGGGGGGTAGGGGCAGGGTTCGCCTGTGGCCCCCTGCTGGGGTGGTCGCGTCGAAGGAACACCCCCCCCCCCTTGCGCGGGCCCAGGGCCCGACAAGCCGCTCTGGGACATGCGCCGGCCTGGCTTCATCCGCGCCTCGGCTCCCTCGCGGCCCTCCCGGGGCGGTCCTCCGGACCCCTCCTCCTCCTCCTCCTCCTCCTCCTCCTCCTCCTCCTCCTCCTCCTCCTCCTCATGCTCCTCCTCCTCTTCCGGGCCGGTGGAACTGGCCGGGCGGTCTCTACGCTAGCCTCGTCGAGGAACCCCTCGCCTGCGCGGGCCCACGAGGTCCGATCGCCTGGAGGAGACGGCCGCGGGCGGGGCAAGGGGGGTCAGCGAGGGTCACCAGCCTCCAACTTATCCCTATCCCTAAGATCGACACGCCAAAAGGAGATGATAATCTTAGGGACACACCCTCAGAAACTGAGGAAACCCTAAGATCGCCATCGTGATGAGGCGATGCCCAACATAGGGATAGGGATGTGTTCCGGGCTGGTAAGAGGATACGTAGGGACAGCGCCTACCATTATGTTGTTCCCATCCTGCTTAAGGACCACATCCCAGAAGTAATTTCGAGCACCCCGAAAAGTATCAAAAAGAGTGTCGAAACAGTGTCGAAACCGTGTCGGACGAGTGTCACCCAGGGGCCCGACACGTGAAAACCCTTGAGTTTCGGTACTCTTTTGGGCGCTGCGCTTCCTC